GTACAGATATTCATTGCCCATTACAAGTACAAATCCCCAAGTACAGATTCTATTGTTGCTAAATAAGACTTCGTTGCAAGTACAGATTGCCCTAATCCCCATGTACAGTTTCTACTGTTGCCAAAGAAGACTTCGTTGCAATATGGCCCGTAACCCCAAGTACAGATTCTATTGTTGCTAAATACGACTTCGTTAACACAAATCCCTAACACTATAGTGTACAGAATATTCGATCTATTGTTGCTACAGAAGACGTACTTCGTTGCAAGTACAGATTGCCCTTAAGTACAAATCCCCAGGTACAGATTCTATTGTTGCCTTCGTTGTTAACCCCTCCGCAATTTATAATATTGGTACTATACAAACCCCAGGTACAATTTTTGATGTTGCCCTCTAAGTACAAATCCCCCGGCCCAGGTACAGTTTGTGTTGTTGCTAAACGAGACTTCGTTGCAAGTACAGATTGTCCTGTTTGCAAGAATTGGTTGCTGCTACGATCGAATCATATATGCCGCTTTCTCGCTCTCTTATATATTAAATTCTTAAATTGCGATATACATTTATTATTCAGTCTAGCCATGATAGCTGATCTGATCGAGGATCACCTACATGATGTGGCCTCCTGGATGATGAAAACCGGGAAAGTCACACTGCCGGCCGTGTGGCCGACCCCGTTTCTTTAGTGATGTGGCTTGCACATGCTGTGTGAAGCTTAATTAAGCTCCGCCTACAGCTGCTTGGCCTAACACAACTTGGAAATACTCAGCCCCGGCACCCAAACCCCGACACTACACCATCCAGAAGTACAAAAACCGTAGATACTACGTTCTGGCACCCAACCCAGCTAGGCGTCAAAAAGCGTCAAAAAGCGTCAAAAAGCGTCAAAAAGTACAGATTTCTAGTCATCTGCAATTCACCATACTGAACGTGCTCTGCAGCTACCATTCAGTTGAGATTGTGGGCATATAGCTTCCGAATCAGCTTCGAAACCCGGTCATCTTTATAGGCTCAGGCCCTTTAAGGAGCTTGTTGTAGTGGTGGATCTATATCATGGGGAAAAAAGTTGGCGCGCCGCCGGCTGAAGCTCCCCCGAAGGCTGAGCCTAGGCTTATATAATAGGAAAAAGCTGCCTTATAAAGGCCCCGAACCTTAACCCTCACCCTTGTAAATTATCAGGACCAAGCCAAAGCGGCTGCTTCCATCGATGCTGGTGTGAGCCTGGCTTCGCTCGGCCTCAGTCCAGCTCAGCAGGAGCTGGTGAAGCAGCGGGTGTGGCTCTTATGCAAATAAAGTCTTGACCCCTGAGTCTTTAACGTACCTAATATATAACCCCTAACCCGAAACTAAAGGCTTAAGCAATTGTAAAAAGTATGTGGACACACGGTGTCTATATGTTAGGTTTACGAACCTAGGCTTATAAATGCACCCACGGGTTTAAATTAACTATGTAGATATGTACATGTGTGTGCATACACATACATATATGTCTGCGTGCATCTCACTCGACCGAAGCAAAAGCATGCATATACGTGACGTAGTACTATGACCTGTGTACAAACATGTGCTGCAACATGTGTGCAGAGAAAGCTTTAATTGTGTTGATCCCGGGCAGAGCGAGAGAGAAAGAGAGAGGTATAGAGAGTAAACCATGGAGAGAGAAACAGAGTCGAAACGAAAGCAGCTTCATACTTAAAAACCAAAGCAAGCAACCACAAATAAAGCACCATCTCAGGGCTGCTTTGATGAGTTCAAGTACGCCAAAGGCGCCACCGAACGCAGCAGCCGTGACTGTACCACCGAAAGCAGCACCGAAAGCTACGAGCACACCGGCAGCGAAAGCAGCGGCGACTAGCAGCACACCGACAGCGAAAGCGGAGGCGACTACGAACACACCGGCAGCGAAAGCAGAGGCGACTACGAACACACCGGCAGCGAAAGCAGAGGCGACTACGAACACACCAGCAGCGAAAGCACCCAGCACTCCGAACGACCCAGTGACACCTTCCCCCAAGGTGAAAGCACCCAGCCCGCAGAGTGTCGAAAAAACGACACCCCCCACAAAGGTCACTTTCCAGGAGGCTTTGTTGGAGCCCGGTGCGGCTTCCCCGAAAACCGTGCAGCCCCTCCGCAGCATCCTGAAGACAACTACCGATACCCTTATCGATGCTGCTGACCCGTCCCAAACAGACACACAACCCTGGGATGGTCAGGTGGCCTTTGCCAGAATGGGCAGTGTCGAGACAGTGACCTCTCAAGCCACCACACTTGTGTTGCCTGGACGCAACGCGAGTGTTTTGAGCCTGCCATCCACAAGTGATCTTGAGTCATTGGACAAGGATTTGCTTGAGGCTTTTGAGTCAGCTTCTCAGGGCGATGATGTGGAGAATGATCCCGAGCTGGAGGCAGCCCTGAAGGCGGCCCAGATCGCCGAGCGGATGGCAAATGAGGCGGCTGCAGCGCGGCAGCAGCAGGAGGAGCGAGCACGAGAGCTTCAGGAGCAGAAGTGCAAGGATGAGGCAACCCGGCAAAGGGCTCGCGAGGCTTTAGAGGAACAGTCGCGCAAGGCAAAGGCTGCGGAGGAGCAGAAAGCACTCGAAGACCGACTTCGTAAGGAGGCGGAAGCACAGCAGCAGGCGGAGCAGAAAGCACTCGAGCAGCAGAAGCGCGAGGAAGCCCAAGTCCTAGCGCAGCAGAAAGCACTCGAGCAGCAGAAGCGCGAGGAAGCCGAAGTCCTAGCACAGCAGAAAGCACTCGAGGAGCAGAAGCGCAAGGAAGCCGAAGTCCTAGCACAGCAGAAAGCACTCGAGGAGCAGAAGCGCAAGGAAGCCGAAGTCCTAGCACAACAGAAAGCACTCGAGGAGCAGAAGCGCAAGGAAGCCGAAGACCTAGCACAAAGGGCTCTGGAGGATCAGAACGCACGAGAAGCCGATCTCCGGAAAATCGTGGAGGCCGAAGTTCGAGCACGCATGGCCCAGGAGGAGCAGAAGCGCAAGGAAGTGCCAACTTGCACAGGGCGTGTTGCTTCCAACCCCCCCTCACTACTAGTACTACTAACTTTTTCTACTACAACGATTACTTCTGCTATTTATCATGCTACCAGTCAAAATGACAATGACTCAAAGAAAAATGACAGTAGCAAAACTGCCACTGCAGCTTCCACTAGAACTACGACTCCTAGTGCTTGCACTGACACTTGGAGTTCTACCACTCATAATCCGAGTAACGCGGGCACCAACACTGGTCCAAACTTGTACCACCGCATTTTGGGGGGATGAAGATGATTGCGATTAGGAATCTAAATTGTAATCGTGAAAGTGACGGAAGCCGGGAACCCGGGCACGGGGTGGCGATCACTATAGTACCCAACGGTTTGGTACTGTGTTTTGTTTTGGGTTTTGAACAAACCAGAATAGTATTTCGATTGTTTCCATGGCTCACCACCTCTTTCCTCAAGCTGCACCCCTACCCAATCAGGTGCTCGAGCCCCTGGGGTCCCGATTGGCATCACGACAGACATGTTTGTAACAAACATGTCTCCCGCGAGAAGGTGCAGCATCATTGAAAAGAGGGCCCAGGGTAACCGAGTCAAGCACAGCGGACCGTTGAGCGGTGGCAGTGGTGGCGGCGGTGTTTTGCACGGTGGTGGGCAGTGGCGGGGGTGGGAGTGGTGGGAGTGGGAGTGGCTGCAATTGCGGCGGTCCGTGGTGAGTGTGGAAATTGTGGGTTGTGGGTTGTGTTGGTTGTGGTTGTGGTGATCGCGCTGATTGTGGCGGTTGTTTTGCGGTGGTTGTGTTCGCGCGCAACAGCAGATCCAACCGAAGGTGGGTGATACCAGGCCGCAGTAGTGGTAGCCGCAGTAGTGGCAGCCTGGCAGCAGCAGCAGCAGTCGTAGTAGTGGCAGCAGCAGCAGCAGCAGCACAGCAGCAGCAGCAGCAGCAGTCGTAGTAGTAGCGGCAACCACCGCGAAAACACCCAACCGTTCCCAACAACGACCAATATCGCGATGACACCGATGACCCGATGACGACGGACACTTGGACGACGAAAGTGAAATTCAGCAAGACTGACGACGACGCTGCGAGTGAAGCCTTAGTCGTGATAAGGCTCCATAACGACGAGAAAGATGTTGAGAGATTGGAAGCATGACCCACTGCCGCAGCAACAACAACCGTATCAGCGGCACACGTCGCCAACATGACCAGATGTGATCGTTGCTATGTTGTTGTTGGTGGTGGCCCCATACAACTGGCGAGGAGTTTCATTGAGGCAGCCATACATGCCACAAGATTTCGTGGATGTTCCATACTACTAGCGCGGATTTTTTGTTGATGCCCGATACATTGAGGTTCATGAAGATCCGCAGTAGCAGTATGGCGTTTGACGTATGGCGAACTCATAGTATTTGGCATGCATGAATCCTAACAACCGTTGCAGGTGCGAAAACGAGGCATGCAGCGTGGAGGTTCAGAGGCCGTGGCTCATAAACAAATCCGGACTGCAGGGCTAATCCCAAAAATCCGCAGTAGTAGTATGCAACATCGACGAAATCTTGTAATAGTCACCCGCGAGTCAGTGAACACTCCTCGCTCGTTGTATTGAGCAACTGCCAGCAACAAAAACCCAAACTAGCAGCATGGTACATCGGAAGTCAGTGCGGCTAGCCCACAAGATCCGTGCTAGTAGTATGGAACATCGACGAAATCCGCACTAGTACTATGGAACATCGACGAAATCTTGTAAACCGTATGCATGAGTCACTGAAAAAACTCCTTGCTTGTCGTACTCCGAACATCCGAAAGCACACATTGACTGGGTACTTGCGACGAGTAGTGGACCAGTGGACGACAATGCACCAAAAAAACAACAAGATTTAGATAGTTTAGTTGACGATGCATACTACGCATGCTAATGTTTGTTACGATCGTCTGAACATCCGTACTGCGGCTTACTTGCCCCAGCAACAACAACAACACCCACCGCTTCTGCTAAGCCAAGCAGCTTCACTTCACATTCCAAGCGTCTGCCATGATCTGCATGTTGGTGCGGCAGCGAGACAACACGTCATTGCCCGGCCAGCCATCCAACTCGAACGCCGCCTTGATCGTCGCAAGCAGACCCTCAGCGGCTTCGGGAACCCACTTGTAGCTGATCCAGGACGCAGGAGCTTCGCATCGCTCCCAAACCACGACCAGCGGCGGCAGGTACAGCAGCTGACCAGGCTCCAAGGATATCTGGACGCCGCCTTTGATGACAGCCTCCTTCATCTTCTCATCCATGGCAATCGCAGCAGCAACCATTGAGGCAATGTTGTTCTGAATGCCAAGCTCCTGCCACCAAAACAACGGAAAATGATTCCAACCATGCACAAAACCTAGACATGCACAATCTTGCAGACTGCAACACACAGCAGAGCATTCCAAACAGTAGCAGATCATGCATCAATGTCCTTGCACGTGACGAAGAAGCTGTCCAGCGACATCATGACGATGTCCAGCTTGTTGTCGCCGAAGCTGTGCCGGAAAGAGGCAAGATCCAGGATCTGAAAGCTTGTCTTCTTTGCAACCAGACCAACGAAGCCGGGCACCATGAAATCCTTATGCGCATCCGCCAACTTCTCGGGCCGGGAAGTCGACGACAACTTTGCGTAGTAGTTGCCAAGCTTGCTCTCCGCTGCCCCGATCTTCATGAACGCCCTTCCGGTGTTCAAGGCAGCCGAGCTCCCCGGAAACTGGCTCATGAAGATGGCAAGCCGGGCCTCAAAGAAGGGCTGCCCGACGATCTCAACCGGCGTGGGGACATTGACCGTCACACACCTCGACACAGAAGGGCCGAGGTCGTCGAAGAAGGAGTCACCGTTGGCCTCCGTCACCTTCTCAATGCTCGAGAGCTTGCCGAAGAGCTCGACCAGAACATCAGGATTCGCTGTCGGACCCTTTGCCGCCGGTGCCTTGGGCTGGGCTTGCTTTGCAAGGGCCTTCGCCTCCGCTGCGGCCGCCCTCTTCTGCTTGTTCTCCTCCTCCTTTTCCTTGCGCTTCCGCTTCTTCGTCACCTCCCGGATCGCTCTGGAGGCTTCCTGCATTGCCACGGTCACGGACTGTGCCAAGGCACGCCATGTGCTCACCATGCCCTTCACCTGCTCCGCGGCCTTTGGCAGATCCTCGGCGCTTGTGATGCTTTTGAGCTGCTTCTGCAAGTCTCGAACGCTGCCCGCGCTCCGGAGCAAGGTTTTGTTTGGAACAGGCGAGACTTGGCCCGTGAGCGCGTTCTGCAGCAAAATGTCGCGCTGGCTCCAGCTGTCATCCTTGCTCAGGTCGTCGTGAACTACCAGATAGATTTTTTTACTTGTTGTACATGTAACTGGCTTATGTACCATAGAATGCACTTAAAGTGAACTTACACAAGTCCTTCTTAAGTTGAAGAAGTCCAACCTTAAGTTCATCCTAAGTTCCCCTCAAGTAGCTTGACTTTGCGTGATTTCCACATTATTGTATCCGTATTGGGTGCTTGCGAACCACAAAATTAACAGTGAAGGGTTGCAGGGTTTGTGGGGTTGAAAGAAACGTATTGCAGCTGGCTCATTCCTTTTTCTTCAGGGCAGGCACAGGACCTTGTCTCCAACAAATTGACAGAAAGCGGGGGGTAGGAGACTGTGGTTCACCGAAGGCTGCAGCAAGGCTTCTTCATCTGTCGCCGTCCAAAGCGAACCAAAGTCTTGAGAGATCTTGTTCTTGAGCCGTTTGGCTAAGAACCACGGCCCTGCCAGCCTTCCATCCCGACATTGCGTCACGACCCCTCCCACAGTGCGCAGAGGGTATCATCTTGCAATCTCTGTCGCATCTGCGCACACAGGGCCACTTGTAGCGACCGCCTTGGGCTCCGTTCTTGGCCGGAGCGAGCAAAGAAGTCTTGCTTCTGCTCTGGCGTGAGCTCGTCGAGGGCCCCGACACCCAAGTTCCTGTAGACCAGCATGCGAAGCGAAAGGCATGGCTGGCATTCAAACTTCTCACCTTCGCCGTGGTCGTCCTCAAGCTCCTGTCTGAAGCTCATACAGGGCGCAGCGGGAGCTGCTCCAGACACCGCCATGGCAGCGACGCACAGCAGCAAGGAGCGGCGAAGGGCCCTAGAAGCTCGAGCTGGCATAAACCAAAATTTCGCGGATCCAGCCGGCGGTCATCCTACAATCATCCTACATCCATCCTACATTCGCCTACATCAGCTGTGACTACAGGCAGCGGGGCGTTACTTTGTTACAAGACTATCCTACATTCTGCCTACATCGTCTATAGTGTAGTTTCTAAATCCCGTCCTACATTATCCTACATTCTCCCTACATTTCTCTTTTCAGCGAATCCGTGGAAAGTTTCAGCAGCTCATGCGGTTTCGGATTTGCAGAGGCTGTGTTTCTGAGGCTTCCCGCAAACAGGTTTGCTTCCAAGTGAGCAAATATATACACAGAGAGACAGAGAAAGTTTTAGTCAGGCTTTAGGGTTTCGTGGGTCAAATGTGTGGGACTTTCGGGCTTCGGGTTTAAGCTTGAGGATTTATAGGGTTTAAGCTTTGGACGACGTCGAAGAGCCTGCAGCGGACAACCCTTTTTTTGGCGGGCACCGGCAGATGCAGGTCGCGTCCATGCAGGCCGGCGTGCACGGCGGATGGCAAGCGTCGCAGCGCGTGCAGCTGCAGACCCTGCACGCAGGGGAGCGCACGGCGCAGAGCGATGATGCATGCTCGCCACTTCGGGCCGCTGCATCTATATAGCTTCAACCTGTCAGGGGAGCGCGCAGCAGCGGCACCGCTGCGTGCAGTTTTATTTCTTGCATGAGGGGCCACACAGCAGCGGCACCGGTGCGTGCATCAGGGGAGCGCACATGGGCAGCAGCGGCACTCTTGTTTAAGCTCGAGTCGCTGCGGCCGCGGCCGCCCGGAGGGAGGCGGGCCAGAGCCTGGACCGTGCCTATATAGGGCCCTTCGCCTCCGGTATGCGCGACGTCGAGCCACAAGCTGCTGCTTCGAGTGTTTTCGATCGAAAGAAACATAGAAACGAAAAACTATGAAAAACGTTGATTCCTAAGTTCACTTTAACTTCTTCCTAAGTTCGTGGCAAGTTCGCCGCAAGTTCCGCCTAACTACCACAGGAGTACATATGTTGCCACCAAGTAAAATACATCTTGGCCTACAACTTATCTAACTTATAACCAAAAAACCTAACTTAAAACCTGAGATATCTAAGATACAACCAGATCGTAAGTTGGTTCTATTTTAGATAAGTTATAAAAATCTATCTGGTAGTTTTGCCAAAACCAAGCGCTCGCAGACTATGCTTTTGTAGTCTTGCACGATACCCTCGCCGTCGATATCGTTCACCTGCATCAGACGACATGAACGTAAAACATCCCGGCACATGACGGTTTGTGCATGAGGCAGCAGTGACGAGCAACCAAGAGTAGAGATCAATCACATCGCCTACGCCTACCAAGCAGCGACACAGATCCGTTCAGTTGTCCAGTCTTGAGCTTTGAGCCGTTGCTGTTCGGCGTCGTAGCAGTAATGGATTTATCGTTTCGGGCTCCATATTGCAGTTACGAACAACCTAGAGTTAGAGATGAACCATTTTCCCCACTCATTTCGTCTTCATTTCGTCGCAATGATCCTGCCTGGATGTTGCGTTAATTTCGTCTTCATTTCTCGGCATGAGACCGACCCGCATCACGCATGGATGTCATTGCGTTCATTTTGTCTTGATTTCGTTGCAATGATCCTGCCTGGATGTTGTGTTAACTTCGTCTTCATTTCGTTGCAATGATCCTGCCTGGATGTTCTTGCGACACTGGCAGTATTTCTTTGTGCGTGCAACCAAGCTGTCGTCCAGTCTTGAAGCTTCAGTCTTCAGTGCTTCAGCCAATGCTATTCGCATTCATGGATTTATCGTTTCGGGGTTCATATTACAAGCTGATGAGGATCAACCAACCAATCCGAAACCCTTGCAACGGAACCAAGCGCCTCCTTCTCCACCTTGGCGATTGTGGCGCCAAGGGTCTCGAGAGCCTTCTGGAGCTGCTCCCCGGTCTCGTCGAAGGCCTTCAGCCGCGACACTGTCAGGTCACCGCCAACGAGTTTCTCTTTCTCTCCGTTCTCTTCGTCTGCAGCTGCAGCAGGCGCACTGGAGAGGGAACCGGCGGAGGCGTTGGAGCCTGTGGAACCCCGTCGCTTTGGTCTCGCTTCAAAGAACTTGTTCGCCTCAGACGAGAAGAAGTTCGCGGGTCGGTCGTCAGCGGTGTCCTCGAGGAAGGATTCCTTCGCGACCTTCGGGGAGGCTTCGTTGACAAGCTGGTGGGAGACGCGGCGGCGAGCCTTGGAGTCAACGTAGTCCTCCTTCCTCACGAGCAGTCGTTCTGGAAAGGCTCTGTTCTCGCCTTCCAGGTCGTAAGCGCCCTCTGCAGCGAGACGGGTCCGCCATTTTGTCTCGATGTCTTCGGGCGAAAGCTTCTTCTGCGAGTAGAAGGCCTCAAAGTCAAACCAGTCCATCTTCGCCATGCGCGTGCCCTCGTCGGAAATCTGCTCGTTGGCGATGATCTCGAGAGCTCTCGACTTGGAGTACTGCACACGGGCGCGGCCTTTGCCTTTCGACGGGCACTCCAACTGATAATCCCGGACCAATTTCCGGAAGGTGCGCTCGTTGCGCTTCGCATCTTCGTATTTCTCGACCCACCCATCGTCCTTCGCGGTCTTCGCCAAGCTGTCCACGTCAGCTTTGCACTTCTGACAATACGGATTCTTGCCAGTGCAATCTTCGCACTGGCAGATCATGCACTTGAGGCCACGGTACGTCTCACGTCCCGGAGCCTTCTTTGGAGCAGGAACCCCGAGCACACGGGCCTCACCTGAGGCCTTCGCCTTCGCCTTTGCTTTCGACTTGGCCCTCCGACCAGTGGAAGCTGCATTGCCGAAGGCATCAGCAGCTGCAAGAAGCCCCTCAAGCTGCTCGTCACCCTCGAACTGCACTTCCTCTTGGAGAGGCCCTTCGAGATCGGCCATGACTCAGCAGCTACACACTACAAGAAGCTGGTGTCGTGCGTCCTGCCTAGAATGCCGGCCAAGAAAAGTGTCCTGGAGCCCTGCCTGGAACATGGGATTGTGCAGCCCTGCCTGGAGCATGAGATTGTTGCAACTCGCAGATATTCACTTGCCCAACTTGCTCCATCATTCAACCTATGAGCCAGCCACCTGAGTCACTCGATCGATCATCCACTGCACTGGCTGCACTGGCACAGCGATTCACTGACTTGAAGTCTGGCCCCGCAAGGACGGAAGGTCTGGTTGACAAAGCTGCCTTTTTTTGCACGGAACGCAGAATCCATTGTACCACCGTGTAGTACAACTAGTCTGAGAAAACTCGCGAACAAAACTCTGAACGACGCTGGAGGCGCTGCTTGGAGGAATAGGATCACAAGTAAGGTAACTATAGCTCCAATTCTGTATAAGACCAATTAAAGTATCTATAACCCTAGTCAGCCTAGTTACTGAGTCCCATGATACTCCAGGGCATTGGGGCGGGGCCCAGAAACCAAATCAGATGCTTAGTGTGGCCAGGGCTGGGATCGCGGGGACTGGGGTCTGGCGGTCCATAGTCTAGAGTACAATCTATAGACTCTAGAACCCGAGGTAATTTTATAAGCTTTTCCCCTGACCCCGGACCCCTGACTCGTTATGGACAGCATCCTTCCTCCAACACTTCCGTCCGTGCAAACTGCTCGACCTGCAGACAGGCTTCTGTGCCGCTCATGTTGTACTCGGAGGCAGGCCTCCTGCTGTCTGTTTGCAGATGCTGGCCGAGCAAATTATGAATCATGATGTGTGCTCGTGTTGTGACACTCCTGCCAGGTAAAGCAACCTGTTCCAAACATTTGCAGATAGCAGTGGTGCTACTAAAGATTTGTGGATATCTGTTACAGGCAATCTGACAGTCTCCTGGCGTAGGATGAACGATGCTGTCAAGTTCGTGGCTCTCCAAAGTCTACTGTCTACAGAATAGTCTACAAACCCTGGGGCCCCGGTCACAGTCTGAAAGCATTACCAGGTGTAGTAACTCGTTCGTGACAGCATCGTTCCTACAACACGAGCAGCAGGTAGGCTGGCCTCTGTATGTTACGCATGTCCAGCTGACTCTGAGAAAGACCGCGTGAAATCCTTGCTTCTGCAATCTGCAGGTAAAGCAGACTGTTCTTCTAGTCTGCTGCAGCGTCAGCATCGTCAGCCGTGATTCTCAGCTCTGACGTGGACCGGAATCGAAATGAGGAAGGCGAGGCACAAGGCGACAGGGAGCCGAGTGCATACGCAGCCCATGTTCCAATGACAGCACGATGCATGGCAAGCTCAGAAACATGCTGTCAAAACATGGATCCACGGACTTCTCAAGCACGAACTGCTTGAGAAGACTCTTGTCCTCTAGCAGCGGGACGCCTTGCAGCAGCATGTGCTCTGCTGGCAAGGCCGTGCGCTGCAGCTTGTGGCTCCAGATCCTTGCTGCATATGGAAAGCAAGAAAGCAAAGCCAAAGTGTTTTCAGACCGAACGTACATTATCCCCCCTGGGCATGCAAGCCGCAATGATCCACGAAGAAGGCACGGGGCACTGTTTGCGACTCCGACCGTGGTCCACTCGGCGGTCTGGGACAAGTCGACCAAGAAGTCCTCGCCCAGCTCACCCCCGTCCTTGGCAGCGAGCTCCTCAAATTCCTCAAGCATTTGTCTATGCCGCGGAGTCAGCACTCGTCTGAAATCAGCTGCTTCGAGAGGGCCTTCTGCGTGGTAGAGTTTCTGACGGAGTTTGTTTCGGAAGTATTCCTCGACGATGTTCGGTGGCATAGCCAGTAGATCGCTGCCCGTCATGGCCGCAGAAGCACCGAAATGAAACTCGAATGCGAAGCGGAACAGTGCCATCGACGATGGACCAAAGCAGTGAAGCGCCTTGGCCGTCTCACCGGCCATCCAATGTCCAGCCTAGGTCAGCAGAACTGGTTCACTCCATGGCCCTTCAATGCTAGAGGATAACGCCACACTTGAACATCCATTTTGCGCCCAGTAACGGTGAAAGGGTGAACTGGAAGGCAGAGTACCTCAGCCACCGAGGCAGGGCACACACACACACACACGCCCCGAGCACACGGGCCTCACCTAGGCCTTCGCCTTCGCCTTTGCTTTCGACTTGGCCCTCCGACCAGTGGAAGCTGCATTGCCGAAGGCATCAGCAGCTGCAAGAAGCCCCTCAAGCTGCTCGTCACCCTCAACTGCACTTCCTCTTGGAGAGGCCCTTCGAGATCCGCCATGACTCAGCAGCTACACACTACAAGAAGCTGGTGTCGTGCGTCCTGCCTAGAATGCCGGCCAAGAAAAGTGTCCTGGAGCCTGGAGCCCTGCCTGGAACATGAGATTGTGCAGCCCTGCCTGGAGCATGAGATTGTTGCAACTCGCAGATATTCACTTGCCCAACTTGCTCCATCATTCAACCTATGAGCCAGCCACCTGAGTCACTCGATCGATCATCCACTGCACTGGCTGCACTGGCACAGCGATTCACTGACTTGAAGTCTGGCCCCGCAAGGACGGAAGGTCTGGTTGACAAAGCTGCCTTTTTTTGCACGGAACGCAGAATCCATTGTACCACCGTGTAGTACAACTAGTCTAAGAAAACTCGCGAACAAAACTCTGAACGACGCTGGAGGCGCTGCTTGGAGGAATAGGATTACAAGTAAGGTAACTATAGCTCCAATTCTATATAAGACCAATTAAAGTATCTATAACCCTAGTCAGCCTAGTTACTGAGTCCCATGATACTCCAGGGCATTGGGGCGGGGCCCAGAAACCAAATCAGATGCTTAGTGTGGCCAGGGCTGGGATCGCGGGGACTGGGGTCTGGCGGTCCATAGTCTAGAGTACAATCTATAGACTCTAGAACCCGAGGTAATTTTATAAGCTTTTCCCCTGACCCCGGACCCCTGACTCGTTATGGACAGCATCCTTCCTCCAACACTTCCGTCCGTGCAAACTGCTCGACCTGCAGACAGGCTTCTGTGCCGCTCATGTTGTACTCGGAGGCAGGCCTCCTGCTGTCTGTTTGCAGATGCTGGCCGAGCAAATTATGAATCATGATGTGTGCTCGTGTTGTGACACTCCTGCCAGGTAAAGCAACCTGTTCCAAACATTTGCAGATAGCAGTGGTGCTACTAAAGATTTGTGGATATCTGTTACAGGCAATCTGACAGTCTCCTGGCGTAGGATGAACGATGCTGTCAAGTTCGTGGCTCTCCAAAGTCTACTGTCTACAGAATAGTCTAGAAACCCTGGGGCCCCGGTCACAGTCTGAAAGCATTACCAGGTGTAGTAACTCGTTCGTGACAGCATCGTTCCTACAACACGAGCAGCAGGTAGGCTGGCCTCTGTATGTTACGCATGTCCAGCTGACTCTGAGAAAGACCGCGTGAAATCCTTGCTTCTGCAATCTGCAGGTAAAGCAGACTGTTCTTCGAATCTAGTCTGCTGCAGCGTCAGCATCGTCAGCCGTGATTGTCAGCTCTGACGTGGACCGGAATCGAAATGAGGAAGGCGAGGCACAAGGGGACAGGGAGCCGACGATATACGCAGCCCATGTTCCAATGACAGCACGATGCATGGCATTCCCGGACAAGTTCAGAAACATGCTGTCAAAACATGGATCCACGGCCTTGTCAAGCACGAACTGCTTCCACGGACTCTTGTCCTCTAGCAGCGGGACGCCTTGCAGCAGCATGTGCTCTGCTGGCAAGGCCGTGCGCTGCAGCTTGTGGCTCCAGATCCTTGCTGCATATGGAAAGCAAGAAAGCAAAGCCAAAGTGTTTTCAGACCGAACGTACATTATCCCCCCTGGGCATGCAAGCGGCAATGATCCACGAAGAAGGCACGGGGCACTGTTTGCGACCGTGGTCCACTCGGCGGTCTGGGACAAGTCGACCAAGAAGTCCTCGCCCAGCTCGCCCCCGTCCTTGGCAGCGAGCTCCTCAAATTCCTCAAGCATTTTTCTCTGCCGCGGAGTCAGCACTCGTCTGAAATCAGCTGCTTCGAGAAGGCCTTCTTTGTGGCAGAGTTTCTGACGGAGTTTGTTTCGGAAGTATTCCTCGACGATGTTCGGTGGCATAGCCAGTAGATCGCTGCCCGTCATGGCCGCAGAAGCACCGAAATGAAACTCGAAGTCGGACTGCGAAGCGGAACAGTGCCATCGACGATGGACCAAAGCAGTGAAGCGCCTTGGCCGTCTCACCGGCCATCCAATGTCCAGCCTAGGTCAGCAGAACTGGTTCACTCCATGGCCCTTCAATGCTAGAGGATAACGCCACACTTGAACATCCATTTTGCGCCCAGTAACGGTGAAAGGGTGAACTGGAAGGCAGAGTACCTCAGCCACCGAGGCAGGGCACACACACACACACACACACGCATGAAGTTCGATCAACTACATAACTGCGACAAGGCACAAGTCTTCGAGCCCATCCATGAGATGCTCCACGTGGAATCGCATAACGTTCTCGCGCAGGAGCAAGTCTGGCTGGTGGGCTTTGAGGCCCTCCTTCCACCACAAGAAAGAGACCTGCGAAGGACCATGCGACCTGAGGGCCTTCTGGTTCATCGACGACCAATCGTAGCAGCATGTGCCACTCACTTGGATTTCCAAGCACCTTCGGTTTGTGGCCCGGGCAAGACAGGCCTCCGGCGCCAGAGCCGGAACATCTTGCTGTTTCCAGCGACAGAAGACTTTGTGGTCCAGTGGAAAGTAGCTGGACAGGTTGTGGTGGACTTCCGTCGCCAAGTTCTCAGTGCGGTTGGCAACAACTCAAGACAGAAAGCCTGGGCACACAAGCCCAAAGGCGAAGCCCTCAAAACCGACCCTGGTGAACAACTACAAATTCAACTGTGAAGCAGCTAAGGAAGCTTTATTTTGAGCAAGCGTCTTTCAAGAAGGCAGATCTCTCCTCGGCAGTCGCCTGAGCAGTTGGAGCAAAAGGCGCAATGTCGGACATCATGTCTTTGGACACAAAGTCCTCCACATAGCCAAAGAGATGCTTTGCACGACTTGTTGCCGACAGCGCCTGCACTGCATGAACATCCGGGTCGCAGACGCTGTGCACGACGGGTTCCAACAGGTCTGCAGAGTCTGTGCCCTCTGCAAAGTGAAAGTGCTCCTTTAGCGCGGTGATGGCATCAAGCAAGCCTTCCTCTCCATTGCCACACCCGCTATGGTCGGAGTAAATCACCATGCAGTTGCCATTGGCCAAGTGGGCTTTCCAGCCATATCGCAAACGTGGTATGCGATGAAGCTTGGCTGCCAACTTCGACGGCCAGTCGTAGAGGTCGCCGATTGTGCTGCCTGCACGATCCCGAATCATAACCCGCTGGCGCTTGCATGACATCCTCATTGGCCGTGGGGCCCAAAACCTTGGTTTCGGCACAGCTCCAACGAAATCAGCAATACACACCGAACAAAACCGAGTACAGTACATCTTGCAGCGAAATTCCGACACCCGCCGACTGGTGAAGCTATGATGGGTAGATGTGGTTAACACTCTCATGATCTCTCATGTGTACACCCCATCCCTCTGACCGCCCCTGTTACAAAGAAAGACGGATGTTGAGGTTGAAGTGTGCAATGAACATTGGATTTACAAGTTGTCTGTGCTCATCTTGACCGTGTGAGAATGGAATCTTGTAGCTGCTATCCGCGTTCATTGTGCCTCTTGGGTTAACGGCCAGTGGAAATTATTACCTTTAACGATCGTTCCCTGAAAAGCAAAAAATAGAGTTGTTGTTTAATTGGAGAAAGATGAATTCAGCCTATAAACACAACTGCGCGGCAGTAGGAGTTCTGTTTACACAAAACTGTGTTTTCTATTGGCCTTTGGGCTGCATCTTGAGTAGCCACATCGCGTCGGTGAGCATGTAGAATCGCAACCGACACCCGCCGACGTCCGAAAGTACGAAGCGCGCGCGTCATGTTTTTTCTGACGTTTTGCGGCCACCCCATCATGCCGTATTGGATGCAAACTTTTCTGGTCGAACAACCGGTTTGCAGTCAATTCTTAAGTTTGAAAGCCTGAAACAGAAATCGGTGTTCATGTAGCATCATGTAGCACTTGTATCGACAATCTCCCCGAAGCTCCCCGAAGCTCCCCGAAGCTCCCCGAAGCTCCCCCTCAGCTCCCCGAAACTTTCCCCAGCTGCCCGCCACCTTTTCACAAGCCCAGCCGGACCACCACTTCCCAAAACCAAGTCCTTTATTACAACCTGCTCATGTCTGCATCACCCATTCCCATCGGATGTCTGGGGCACTTGGACACAGTCCCGGCTGCTTGGGCTCCCCGAAGCTCCCCGAAGCTCCCCGAAGCTCCCCGAAGCTCCCCGAAGGTTGTGGCAGCTCCCCGGACCTTTTTGCAGAACACGACACACCAGCACCAAAAGCTTGTCACGAGGTGCCGGGCAACCACACCCCAAAACAGTTCGCGCACAAAAGACCAAAGCAAATGGGGCAGCACTTCAGGACTCCGCAAAACTTGGTTTCAAGCTGGGGAACACACGATGTGGTCCTGGAAGCTCATGTTGCTCTGTTTCAGCGGTTCCAGCATGGCAATGAAGTGTTGTATTCGCAAAAGAAACTGGACTGTGTGGAAACGACAGACGTGCTATCTTACACAACATGACTACAACACTGAAAAGCCTCGGAACATGGCTGGCGGCTGGCAATGCATAGCACACATCAGCATCTATATGACCCAGAAGCGGCGGACTTCGCTCCTCAACGACAGATGCAGAGGTACTTCCAACGCCGCACCAGCTGCGCCCCTGACCCCAAAAAGGCTGCTGCTGCTCGGCTGAGCACCTTTTTTTAGGGTTTGGGTCTAAACCACAGGGTCTTAGGCTTAGGGTTCGGGAGCTCGGCTGAGCGATCCTAGCGTCTTAGAACTGGGCCTAAACCACAGGGTCCTAGGGTTCGGGAGCTCGGCTGAGCGATCCTAGCGTCTTAGAACCGGGCCTAAACCACAGGGTCAGGGTCCTAGGGTTCGGGAGCTCGGCTGAGCGATCCTAGCGTCTTAGAACTGGGCCTAAACCACAGGGTCCTAGGGTTCGGGCGCAGAAGCGGTGGTGACTTCGCTGGCCCGAAGCAAGGCAGCGACGGGATGCAGTGGAGGAGAGCCGCAGCCGAACTAGGTCCAGGATCGTAAGCTTGGTCGGGGAAGCCCCAACTCGATAGGTTCACAAGCGCATTCGGCGATCGTTCGTCGCGGGATTTCTGGGTTGCCGAGTGCTGTAAGTGCTTAAGGTGGGGGAAAGGGCACAAGACAACTCCTCCTATTGGGGTTCGGGTCTAAACCACACGACACAGGGTCCTAGGGTTCGGGTGCTCGGTTCACTCGCTGGAGGAAGAGCTGTCTGAGGACGAGGATGACGACGAGCTGCTGCCTGATGAGGAAGATGGAGCAGCAGCCTTTGGCGCCGCTGCCGCACGTGCGCTTGCACTTGCACTTGCACGCTTCCGCTTTCTACTTGGCACAGCAGATGAGGCAGCAGACGGATTGGGCCGAGGATCAGACGGCTCAGCAGAAATGCTATCAACCCGGCAAGCAATCATGGTAGCCTCGTCTGGGAGCTCCTCCAACACGGGATGATAAGCCTGGTGGCTGACCTTGTCCTCGAAGAGGAAGACACTGTTGCACCAGTGCCGGACACGCCATAGAGTCGTCATCTCCTGTGCTTCGTCATCAGGATTAAAGGACATTGTTTTCGTGCACTTCTTGTTTCCGAGAGTATGGGCCGGATGAGGGCACGTGGCCTGCCACGACTGCACCGGTTTAGCCTTGCCCTGCTTCTGAATCTTGTGCGTTATCAAGAAAGCTCCCCAACGGTGTGTCTTGTCTTGGCGACGCCTAGCCAGCAATTCATCGGCGGGCTGCGGCCGCTCAGGCCGCTCAGGAACAGCAGCTTGTGCAGCCCCAACATCGGAGGGTTCTTCATTCAGAATTGCCAGGGCCTCGTCTATTGCCTGGTGATCTCTCTCTCCAACCAAAGGCGACTCCACTTCCACAGCATGTCCTGGTTCCAAAAACGGCGGATCCTCGGACAAGACGGAATCACGGTCGTCCTGGTCCTGATCCCCTGGAAGCTCTGGAGCACCAACAACAGCAGGAATGGGACGTGGCTGGGCAGGTCCAGGCTCACTAGCTAGAAACAAACGATCACGGGCAACAGCACGAGACGTCTCTTTCGGCTCCAGATCGGTTAGTGCCTGAAGTGATGCCTCACCAGAAGCTACCTGAAGAAGGCACTGAAAGTACTTCACAGACGCAAGATGGAAGATTCTTTGCAAACCAAGGGCTATCAGTGCATCACGGTTCTCGTGGATGGCTAACATGGCACGCAGGTAGTGCCTGGACACCACAGGTACTTTCTTTTTGAAGTACCAAGTCTTGCCCGGCCGAGAACCATCCTCCGAAGCTGAAGCTTCCTCTGCAGGGCCATCTGGCAAACGGATCTGCATTTCCAAGCCTTTCCGCTTCTTGTGGGTGGGCAGCTGCAGAGCTACCCAACCTGCATCTCTCAAGCATGCCATGATCTCGTAGCGGGTCCACTGGCCTCGGTCGTCAAGCAGTCGCGGCTGCAAAACCGATACCGGATGGGTTAGTGCCACACGAGTCGAAACCCACTTAAGGGCTTCTGCAGTTAGGCACCAGCCTTCAGCACTGCAATCTTGCGCGGCCCAGCCGCGGTCTTTCATCTGCTGCAGGATTTGCAAAGACGAGTCAGCCGATTTGATGCGAGAACGTCTGAAAGCCGGTTTCAGCAACACTTTTCCCGAACCGGCCACAGCATCAGAAGACATGAAATCCGTGACGACCCGATCCATGCTCGCCTGATCGGCAAGAATCAGAGGTCCCGTCCAAGCGAACCTGACCCGACTCGAAGACTTAAAGCGAAAAACTGAGTGCTGAAAGAGTGCATCATTTATGATGGCACTGGCTGCTGCCAGCGACCCTTCAGAGCCTTGAGGCTTTCCAGTCGTATACAGGACTTTGGCATCAGGCTTTACATCACAGCCGACCACTGGAAACATGGTTACAGCCACATCTGAAGAAGTCAGTGTTGTCATGCAAGACCCTTTGACTTGCTTCAGCAAAGACGGCCTCCAAGACTGGACTTTGAACAAGACACAACGACGAAATCGTTCATCAGCGACTACAGATTGCTCATCACACATGTGGCTGCCCCACGTAGATGCTACGGCAGCGCTATGATCCTGGCCCCGGTCGCAAGGATCAGCTTCGATCAATGCCACCTGACCCGCGTCATCGAGACATGCATCCGCAAACCTGGCATTGCCAGCCAAAGTGCATTGCAACTGACGAAAAGGAAACTCGTTTGCCGGCATGCCTGCAGCAGCATCTTGCAGTGTGGCCGCAAAGAAATCACATGATGAAGTGGCTGTAACACGGAAGTGCTCCAAGGCTAGGTGGCGCTGCAAAGAGTTTGTGTCTGCAATCGTCAGCGGCAACTTGGACGCCGACTTGGCCTGGCCATGCGTCTGCTTGGCATCAAGGACATCTTCCCAGTCGGCGAACTGCGTAGCTGCATCGAGCCGGAACATAACCCTATCTACAAACCCGAAAGACTGCAGCTGCTTGTCGGCTTGCTTTTTAGAAAGACTGTCCAAGGCAGTAACAGAAGCATTGCTCTTGAGCCCCAAGTGCTCAAGAACAAAAACTGGCAACCGCAATCGGTCAAAATGCTCTGCCAATTCGACCAACGTCTTAGGATCCTGAGCCGCGTTGTCCATGATTGCGGCTGACCTCAGCACGTTCGCAACGTAAGCCCCGCGATGATTCGGAGCTGTTTCTGTAGCACGTTTGACAACAGCATGGCGTCCCTCTATTGACCTTTCCAGCAGGGGAAGGAAGGCAATGGGTCCCAGCACAGCACGCAGCTGGAAACAATCGTCGGAATCGCGAGGCGACCCCTGCCCAAAACGAACGAGCGAGTCTCGAACATTGGAGTCTGACATGAATGCATGGCACAGGGGGTGGGCACTCGCCTTGTCCGGTTTTGACATAAATTCCCACTCGCCCAGCAAGCGACGGCAGGCAGCACGAGCCGTCGTTTCGGACGGATGCGCAAGGGCCAGAAAGGAGTGTGGCATGGCTGTCCAGTTCGCAAACTTCAACTGCAACATGAAGCTGAAATGCTGCAAACCTGCAACATATTCCGTGAACAGATCGGAGTTTGAAGGAAACACATCGGCAGCTCCTTGCAACTGATCACGCATGAAAGAAACCACGAAACCAGCGGCCAGCTCAGGAGCCCTCCTGCCTTTCATCGGGCAGGCAGCGTAGTGTTTGCACCTATCCTCATCGTCCTGGGCCGCTGCTTCACG